CATTGCTCTGGAATTTTTTTTATTTGCAATACAGCCGTTAAACAAATTCGTGATCCTTTCTACTAAAAAAGTTCCTCCGTACTTGATCAACTCAGCTACTATACCTCCCGGACTCGGTGCTTTCCCGTTCTTCATAGAGTAAATGGCTCTGCGTACTTGCTAAGGCGAAACACCTATAGATTCACTTACGCTATTTGTCGCCTCAATCTTGACTACTCCACTGGTGAACTGTGGTCTAGTTTCTGTTAGCAGCTTCTCATAATAATTTGCTTGTTCGTTTAGTGTTATTAGATTTAATTTGTTTTTAGTATTTGTTTTTAAGTTCCTTAAAAATCGCCAGACCTCTGTGGATTGTGTTCCACCTATCATACAGTCGATTTCTTTACACTTATTTTCCCAGAAGTTGTGCTTTGCTTTTTTTATTCTGTTTTTTAACGCTGCCTTGCTTCTGTTGTAGTGTGTCGCGCCTACTCTCTGCTGTTCTGTGACTCAGCCAACTGTTATATGCCCTCTCCTTTTCCTTTACTGCATTGGCCATTTCTTCGGACCACCATCCTTGACTGGGTTTCCTTTGTTGTTCCACAGTTCCCATCACCTCCCGCGCAGCTTGGTGTACCGCTTTCAGAATGTACTCGTGATCATTCTCTATATCCATTTCCTCGCCCTGTGCGCTCCCGTGGTTGGTCTGTAAGTATCCGTTCAGCCTTCGCTCATACAGTTCCCTGATGCTGTCCTGTTGAAGTAGATACGTCTTATACTTCGGTAATTCGATTTTCCCCATCGCGCCGTCCTCTTCCTCAGCCCTTATCTTCTGACTTACAATGGGAAAAAAGCACTTACTAACCACAAGGTAATGGTCTGAGCCACAATTAGGTCCTCTTTTAACTCTAGTGTCGTTAACCTTGAACAAAGAGTCCTGTCTTACTATTACTGTCTTACTATTACTTAACGTAATCGATAATTGACTTCGACGCTTTTTCCCACGTAAATCTATGAATCTTTTTGTGATTAAAGTGAGAGTTGGTTATTTGTAGGTCGTGCTGCTTACAAAACTCTATCAATTTCCCTCTATTGGAGTTAACCACCACTTCGCCATATCTACCCACCTCATCGCCAACTCGGCTACCAACTCTAGCGTTCATATCTCCTGCCACAATGATTTGTTGCCTATTGGGAATATTCTGGATTAGCGATGTCAATTCCTCATAGAATTCTGTTTTTACTTGCTCCGGGCTGTCCTCCGTCGGTGCGTACACTGCCAGTATGCTGGCGACTCTTCCATAGAGTTCAATTTTAACAACCAGACATTGTTCGTTCACGTATTGAATATCTTTGATATATTTCACCCATTTCCTCTTAACCAATAGTGCAACGCCCGCTTTGGCCCGTTCTACTTTGGGAATCCCCGACCATATAAGAACGTAGTCATTTATAGCTATATTACCGCTCCCCTTCTTCTTCGTTTCCGAAAGTGCGACGATGTCCATGTCAAGTTTCTTTATTTCGTGAATAACCTCCATAAGTTTGTTAGATATTCCCTGCACATTTCAAGTTCCGATATTCAAAATCTGTTTATCAAGCTTATGTTGGAGCTTATGAAATAAGGAGCTTCGTCTCCTTCTGTAACTATTAGACTTTGTTGTCTTGCTACTATCTTTTTGCCTTATTTACATTACTCTTTCTGTCGCCTCTCCTTGCCTCTTTCTACTTTCTTGCTAACCTCCTCTGCCACTCTCTCTGCCTCTTTCTTACCATACCGGAACGCATCTCTCTGACGCTCGATCCGCTCGATTATTCATCGATCGAACGAGCCAGCTCGCTACTATCCTCGCTTCTCACATCCGCCGTCCGCCAGTATCACATGTCTCGCATGCCGACTCGATCGATCTCACGATCGATTCCTCGCACCCGCTCGCTCGAGTACCCGTTCCTTCTGCACTCAACTCCTCAACTCACTCTGCACCCTTCTTACCTTCCCCCTCGTCGCGTCTACCTTCTTATTCCTCTCCGTCATTCTAACCTTACTTTCAACTCTCCTCTTCTCCCTCAATTTCTGGCCGCTTCACCTCGATTCTATCCTCACCTCCAATCCCACCGCCTCCTCTCAACTTCCTTCGCACCCTTCTTCAATCCTGCACCTCCACCCTTCCACACAGCTCTGTTTTCGACCCTACTTCCACTTCTCCGAACTTTCCACCTGTTCCCCCGCCTAGGCTAACGGGGGAATCTTGTTATGTCGTAGTATATAGTATATATTGTATGAGAAAATATGCACAAATGGAAATTATTAAGCGTACGACGCAACTGAACAGAAATAACACAACACCTACCTACAGCGCGACGCCTATATCACATATCATCTCGTCTTGCCAAAAATCGAATAATGGTATCATAATAAAAATATACATGAATGTATTTGGCATTCGACGCTCTTAAATTTTTGCGTTGGAAAAATTGTTATATTTGGCAAAAATAATAGGTAGGGGTAGGGTTAAATTAAAAAATGTGACAAATTTGAAAAATCTGATTACGCCATTGTAAAGAGCACAAAAAGCCATAAACCAAACTTTTTTTCATACGCCTTATATTTTCGAAGATATTCGCTAAAAACTATAAAATCCGTTATTTTCAAGGGGTTGTTTCAACCCCTAAACGTCGAGATACGCCGCAAAAAAATACGTGTCTAATGTTTCTTGATGCTCAACAACATATCCAAAGCGCATCCAAATCGGGTAGGGACACTTCCAACCGTTTCCTTGTTAGAAATGACTTTATATTGACTCATTTTTAATTATGTCTTTTTGATTTTTAGAAAATGTGGTGTACGTTTCTTGACTGTGCTTATTTATTATGAAAAGTATGATATAAGAATAGTCACAAAAAAATCAGGGTTTGACCATTATTCAGATACCAATGCAAAATAATATAAAACTTTGAATCTTTCTTGTAAGATTTGCACTTTTTGTGTCTTAATTATAATTAGCAAATATATATTTTTTCTAATACTAAGATGATTTTTTTTATTATTTACAATATTAATAATTTATTTTAATGTGGAATGTAGTTTATTTTTTCTAAGTACACAATAAATAAATGCCAGAAGTTTTGTTCGACTCTATTGCCTGTTACCTGTCAATATTATTTGACAATAAAAATGCACGAAGGTGAGAAAACCAAATGTGCGCAATGCTCGCGGTGTGTTGCTTTCACCGACGACGCCGAAGGCTAAGTCCGAAGGCGGCGTGTTGATGCGCGCACATAGGCGAGCCGAAGTCGCCCCGATGAGAGTCGATCGAGCACCAAGCCACGAACACGAAGGGTGCGTTCGGTTTGGACGCTCACGCGCTGTAAGCGCTTATGAGCGTTACTCACGTTGTTCGCTTTGGCGTTGTAAGCGCTTACGGATCGACTAATGACGTCATCGTTGACGTCATAACTTCTGCTGACAAACGCTTATTTTTGCAAGGTAGGGCAGTGTGAACGTGAACGTGATCAAGCGTAAGCGCTTACGTTCATTTTGGAACGCATTATTAGCGAATTGCATATCAACAAACATGTCGTCGTACATTGAATTTCTCACAAATGGATCTGTACATAATTTAAATATTAAGCAAGGAAAAATTATATGCATACACAAATATAAATTAAAAATTGCATAAACAAATTATAGGCTCTCCTGAATAAATCAAATAAAGGGAAATGAGAAAGGCAATTAGAGCCACGCGCGGTAATTAATGCGCAATCAAAATAAGTCAATAATAAAATATATTAGTTAATACAAATTTGGACGTTTCAACACTTTTTGTGTCATCTT